AACACAGAACGTTCTATGTCGCTGGGTGGATATCCGAGGTTGTCCATGGCAATGCTCACAGTACGTCAATTAATTAATTTTCCACCCATAAGAATGTTGTGACATTGAGACAGAACACCGCCAAATGTATCCGATTTCGGGTTTATTTTTCTTTCCAGAGCCGGACTTCCATTATGAATCGAAGAGCCAAAGAAAAGCTAGGATGAAGGAGAACATCTTTATGAACCCGATCCAGCTGAGGTGGCAGCAACTCCTGGCAGCGTGTTTGAATGCCCCCTGTGTGGCGACACCCCACCTGCTCCAGCAGTAAATTACCGAATAACACACACACACACATATCACTTGTGTTTTATTCTCTGCATTGTGCTGTAACAGATTTTAAATCATCAAATGATTTCCTGCTGGCTCTTTCAGGATCCTCGAGAACATGGATCACCCAATGTCGTTGGACACCCAGCAGAAGTTACTCCGATTAAGCGGCATCTACACCCAGGGCACAGACTCAGGATGTGACCCGTCTATGGAGCACGTGGGACAGCCCAGGGGAATCTACACTCTGGAGAGCCTGCATGAGAAGCTGCAGTCCAGGTGCCGGGGCCAGCCGATGGGACAAGGCGCTGAGTCGGACCAACACAGGGCTCTGCCAGATCGGACGGAGGACTCCCAGGAGCACCTGAGCCCAGATGTCCTGGCTGAGGGAGCAGCAGAACTCCGAGGCTCTCCCTGGCAAGTTTGTACAGGTCGGTTCAATTCATGCCAGCTTGCTGGATATGCATGTGGTCTGGTGTTCTGATTCCATGTTATTTAATTTGTATTGATAATCAATAATCAACTTACAGTGCATTTTTTGTTCCATCGCCTGCGTAGACAAAGTCCAGTGGAAGAACTATCCCCTTGGGAAAGTCCCCGGCCAGTCTGAGGATCCTTCCTGCCTCATGTTAGATAACGTTTCTACCATGACAGTATTTGACCAGCAGGTGGCGATGGAGAGTGCTAATCAGCACAATGTGCACATGGGGTGAGACATCCACAACCACACCAATTAAACTGAATATGCTGCGGATCTGCCATCTAGTGGTGGTGTTTAATATTTCTTTAGGAGCAAATACAGGAGAAATTATGGTTCAGTGCAATTTATGGGAACAACGGCTGGGAATTTAAACTCGGCTTGATACTGGCTAACTCTCAACCCAAAATAATTCCTTTGTCAGTCTGTTTATACATGAAGCAGATTTTTTACTTTCCTCAAGCAGCAAGTTGGGCCTTCCTAATATAAAAATGAGCAAACGTTCATTTTTTTTTTTGAATGAAATGTCCAAGCTGAATCAGCTGACCTTTTTTAAAATTAATTTTTACATGGCATATGCATGTAGAGCTTCTTGATTGATGCAGTTTTTTTTAATCAAATTACAGAGATGATTACGTTAATGTTATTATGTCATTATGATCTTGATAGATATTACTTTGCCATTGTTATTACTAAAGCAACATTTCTGAGAATAACTATTGTTTATAATACATTTTTAATTGTATTAAATATTAATTTGATCACTAACGTTTGTCAATTCTTCCACAGGGTTCCAATGCCATACAAAATCACTGACGGGCTTCTCTGGACACAAAATGATATCAGCAAGTTAAAAGCTGGTCTGCAACTGTTTTAAACAAATATGCCAACTGTGGAATAAAGACGTCAATGTCATTTATCTTAATTTGAAGAAAAAAAACCAACGCTTGCCAATTTACCAATTATTCCTTCAACCTGAAGTATAATGTGAAAGTTTTCTTCCTGATCCCACAAATGAGAATTAAAATTAAGAAATGATAAATGTAGCTTTGGTCATATAAATACAGTAGTAGTACTAAGTACAATAAAACGCTTACTTGAACTGCAAAATTTACTTTGATAAATATAGTGACTCGACAGCCATCTTACAGTGTTAGAATATCAAAATACGGTTAGAAAGCAATCATATTAATTAAAGAACATGACACTTGATAGAACCAACAAAATAACACCACCATAAACATAGTTTGGATTTATTTAAGGAAACAAACACTTTGTCATTGAGACTTACATTTTGTTTGAGCCTACAGGCTCAAAGCGTTTATAGTTTTTGTTGTTCTACATGTGTTCTTAAAACAATTTAAAAGCAATTTGTGTCATTCCACATAGAACAAACTACTGCAGCTCGTCACACAACACATGACCATGTTGCCAACTCGTATCACCCTATTACATTGCAAAACCACAATACGACACAGTTCAGTTTAACTTCAGGACATCACGTTAGACCAGCACTAATTCACAAATCTGAGTATGTAAGCGCATTTATCATTCATAATAATAGAGCACATCAATAATATTGTTTCTGTAGTAATTCATAGAAAATCTCATAGTACCTGAGAATTCCTACTGTGTGTGTGTGTGTGTGTGTATATAAGGAAATGTATCATTTCAGGTGAGCTGGTATATTTAGAACATTGATTCAGGGTTAATCTACACATCGAAAATCTCTGTAGGTATTTATCCCCTCTACCTGCTGTGTTCAATTTCAAAAATCCCAAACTGTTAGCCAGTTTGCTGAGACCAACAAACGATAGAGATAAACAAGACTGAAATCAGTCCTCACAAACAAGCCTCTGGTGTGAAGGCTCATGGCTAAAATTACATTTCTCATTTGAAACAGAATTAAAACCGGTATAGTCACATGCATTATAACACTTAAGGCAAGATCAAGTGCCATTGGTAAGAATGACAGATATCAAAAGGTAACCACAAATCAATAAAGATATGATCTTGTCAGAAAAAAGAAAGTTATTCATTTAATCTATTACCACAGGCTTTACACTCAGGACACATCATTCATACTGACATACTGTGACTTGAGTGCACAGTGTCAGTACCCTAAGAGTTGAAGATGGTATTTTCTGTGTCAAATCCTGTTTCCTTATTTAATAAATAACCCTCGGTGTCGTAACCCAAGTCATTTATCACCGGCATTGCAACCAATTCGGGTTCCTGCAATTCAAATACAACCAAGCATGTGTTTCAATGCGTCAAAAAAATTGCATCAAAACAGCAATAGAGGTCACATCGATATTTTTACTAAGCTGCTTGGGTTACTACACAACACGTAAAAATGTTCATAGCACATTAAAACTGTACGTTGAGTGGTAAATCCAGTATGCATACGCACGTATAGCACATGTAGCATATACAGCGGACAAAATGCTAACAGCTGCACACAGGACATCTGTGCACGCCCATGTAGCACTTACACGCCCCCTGTAAATGGTCTAATGTGCCCGGTAAGAAACCGTACACACCAGTGGGCTACTCCCAGGTGACACACAGTGTCACAAACGTTTTGGCATTGTGTTTTCTTTAAACTTTTTTCTTTTGTTAATAATATACTGTACATTTCATAAATATATTCTACAATCAAGAAAGATACAATTTGTATCAACAAACAAATGTCATTTCTAGACATTTTAGGCTTTGTCATTTGCGGCTCTCCAGGGGGGGTGGGGGGGTTAATAAAATATTTAAATACATGCTAATTGAAAATAACACTGGATTTGGCCCTTCGGAACAGATTTTTTTTTGTAAAGAAACGATTCATCCCCAAGGCTATAGAAATTACATCCATCGTCATAATTTTCATATTTCTTTAACGCACTTCGACTTTCGCCACGTAGTGCAAAGTGTGTTTCTGGGTATAAATTCTCCTTTGAAAACAGTGAAGGTGGGGATAAGATTGGAGCGGGGGGGGGTTGGCACGCAAACTGTAAGCCAAAAGCCAGAAACAACCCTGACGGCAGCCTCACATTCTGAGTGTTTCACAGGAAGAAACATTTAGGCAGTGTCACACCTTCTCATGAAGACACAAGAGCCGGGCCGCGGTGGCCTGCTCTTAGTTCATGAAAAAACAAAGTCAACGACGCCCGAAAAACCTTCTGGGCAAATAACATTCAGATAAGTTGTTTTTGTTTTCTTTAAATGCATTTACACGGGTCGTCTCCCAGCATTAATAAGGAAATGGATGCTTGTGTTTAAAGCATTTTGCCGAGGAGACGTCGCCAGTTCCTTAGCGATTACAAATATAAGTCACGTTGAACACACCTGAAGTGTCATCCTGTGCCATTAAGTCACATGTCAGGTTCAAAGGTGCAAGACAAGGATATATATATATACACACACACACACACGCGCACGCACACACTCGCGTTCCAATAATGTCCATGTAACGCAGTTACATTAAGGTAAACAGCCAGCCATACAATACAAAATAGGAAAGTCTAAAAAACACTTATGTAATGTAACACTAACATCCAATCAATTGTCTCCGTCAAAACGATGATCACTTCATCATGACACAAGGTCAAGTATCCATCTTTTTGGCATTATTTCAGCAGCCTTGAACTCTAAAGTGTTTTACATGGCTTAAATCATGTGTCACGTGCTGTTAAGTATGTGCGATGTGATCTAAATCTAATCTTTCCCAGATGTAGTTTGGCTCACTTCGGTACATGCACTCCAATTCTACCAAAATAGTAGCTTTGTAAAATGAGATTGAGAAAATATAGGCTATATATATATATCAATCAACGTACAGTGCTTCACGTTTAAAAAGCAACAAAGACTGACCTCCACTAAACTATGGTATTCATTGAAACCCGTTAAACTATGACGTGAGAAGTGAGGTCATTCGGATATAAGGCCATAAAATGTCAAAGGTCATGCTCTTGAGGTATGCTTGCACTCACTACGTTTTCTCGTTTACCACAAGTCATTGCACAAGAAACGAAGTCACGGAATATTTACAGCGCTGTTAGAAATCCACAACATGACCAGCGTTATGGTGAAATAATTTCTGTATATCAAATGGATGACTAAAGATCAAATTCAAATGAATAAATTGTCCCTTATATAACAATAATACATCTTTTAGCTGAATCCAAAGTGACCTGTTCATGCGAGCGAACATTATAAATATTGAAGTACCGGGAATTGAACTCACTGCCCTGGCATTGCAAGCGCCATGCTCTACCAGCTGAGCTATGAGAGCCCGGCAGCGATTTTGGAGTTGAGAATTTCACAAGGAGAAAATTATTTTCCGGACAAATAATTTACCTCAAATACAGAGAACTAATACTGATAAAATGAACACACTCAATGACAAGACCTCAGCTTGGTGACGATGACGGCAGCCAGTTGCTGCGGGTCGGTCAGATGGGGGTTCTTCTCCATGACCGAGTGCACCACAAACGCCGGGAAGATGTTGCAGAGGTTACGATACGTTTGGTACTGGTGCTCGGGGATGGCGTGGCGTTCCTGGTGCTCGGTTTGAGGCGGGTTCTCCCAGGGGGACCTCCAGATCTGCTCCATCTTGTCGGGCATGCTGCGAACCATCACGCGCTCACAGCACGGCTGCATCAGGCTGTTGCTCAGCGGGTACGAGTGGTACCCGTAGGACTCGCCACCACAGGGGAGTGGGTCCCAGCTGGCGTGCTGCTCCCGGCACAGCGGGGGTCTCCTCTGCCTCATCGGGTTGCTCTCATACAGCCGGGAGTCCGAGATGCTGTCCATGCGCGTCATTCCCAGGGAGCGTCCGGGCTGCGACAACTGGGACGGCAGTGCGTTCTGAGGTAAGGGGTAGTCTCCCGGGCAGCTGGACCTGGCCCCGACCACAGGGTGCTGTATGTGCGGTGCCAGGTGGGCTATGGATACTGGCTTTCTGCTTGGACCCTGTTTGAGCTGCTCCTCAGGGCCGTAGCTCTGCACCCGGGTCAGGGCCTCGTGGCGGAACCCCCCGTGGGAGAAGCCCTGCAGTCGGCTCTGCGCTGGTGACTGCTGCTGGCCCTTGAGGCTCTCATCCAGGCTGCTGTCCACCGAGCTCAGGTACAACTCCCCGTAAGAGAAGGAGTCACTGTTGGAGTGGCTGAGGCAAGGCTCCGGGCAATGCTGGCTGGGATTCCTCTGGTAAACCCCGTGGTCGTGCTCCACGCTACAGAAGCTGTCGATGTTCTGCATGCTGCTCATGCTCATGTTGGAGAAGTCGCTCAGCAGCGAGTAGTACCCGTGGTCCGTGCTCACCGAGTCGTACTTGGGGAACTGTTCGCTGTACGTGACAGAAGCCCCGTGGCTGTTGGTGACCAGTATGGGCGGGTGCGGGTACTGCACGCTGGACATGTGCTCCAGGGAGCTGTGGGTGAACTTGAGCGAGCCGGGCACCGGGCTGCTGGCCGACCGCGTGTTCAAGGCACCGGCCGCGTGGCTCTTCGCCGGCTGCATGGTGGGCACGCTGAGGGCGGACACGAGAGAAGGCACCGAATTTGCCTCGGCCTTACGGATGGCCGACAGTTTGTCCTCCGGCTCGCACGCGACAGAGCGGATGCTGGGGTCGGACTGGCGCTTTGGGGTCACCCGTTTGGCCTCGTAGCCGCCGTCGCCCTTTGCGGTCGGGGGCCCGGTGCCACACTTGACAAGGGCCCCCTCGCTCATCGTCTTCACGGCAGACAGTTTGGCAAACGCCCGGAGTTCATCGGCTACTGATCGCTGGGGCTGGTTGGCACGCTCTGGGTGGTAGTACTTGCACTTGTGTCCGTAGGTGCATTTTTTCCCTGTGGATATTTTAAAGATGCACCAGTTAAACAATGTCTACTCCAGCAGTACAACCACTAAACTACTACATAAGTGTGGAGGAAGCCTACCATATGGACAAGGTTGCTTTTTGTGCTCCGGAACGACAGGACGTTTACGGAGAAAATTCTCTAAACTTGGACCGTGTCTTCCCAAAGGATCATCAGGTGGCATGAATCTAGAACGTGACAGAAGAATAAACTGTGTCATTGTGTTGTTATTTACACTCAGCACTTCAGTCACTATAGAAGCACTGTTGACTTGTCATTGTGTTGTTATTTACACTCAGCACTTCAGTCACTATAGAAGCACTGTTGACTTGTCATTGTGTTGTTATTTACACTCAACACTTCACTGTTGACTTACTTATCGTTGACAAACGAGTACATCAACAGACGCTCTTCTATAAACTTCTTCCACTCCGGTTTCTCGTTCTGCAAGTCCCTGTAGTTGTCATTGGACACAATAATTCCATCCGAGTCACAGGCCAGCTTCACTATAAAGCGATCGTCATAGCAAACCACCCTCCTCCCTTGGACCCTTCTAGATGGGGTGAAGACCAGGATCTTTTCCTTCTCCAACTTCCGCAGAATGTCTTGATCTGTGTAAAGAAATGGACAAATATCACTAACAGCAGTGGAGGTATTGCTACAGCAAAATGTGCAGCCCTGTGTACCTGAACTCTAATTACATATTGATACAAAACACGTGTCACTGCAAATAAACACACATTTATTGTAGCCGAACATCCGTCTAAACTCAAATAATTGTTTGAAATCAGCTATTTTATTTGAATGATTCCACAACATAAACGTACATAACATCTTGGACAGGCATGTCTAAATTTGGCTAATTGACATAAACGTTTTTTTTTTACCTGTAATAGGGGCATCAGGTCTGGACTGCTCTTTTCTCCAGGCAGGAACAAACACGGTTATGTCTTTATGTCCTTTCTCCACAAACCAATCGACTGCCAGTTGGATACCAAGGCAAGAGAAAACCTCTTTGTTGCCATGGCTACAAAACAAAACAACCACAGCTTGTGAAAGGTCTGACTGTAAAGGTAATTGCATGGACAGATTCCACATGACATGAGGTACAGACTAATTTGGTCTGACTGTAAAGGTAACTGCACGGACAGAGATTCCACATGACATGAGGTACAGAGTAATTTGGTTGTGCGCGCGTCTTACCTCATTGCCACATTTGATCCATCGATGACAATGGGCCTGAGATTTTCGTATGGCTCTACAGCGTCGTCCTCCAGGGACACCTCGGGACTGACAGCCTCTTTGACACAGGGGCCTCCGCGGGGGGCCAACGCGCCCGTGCACGCGCCTGCTGGAACCTCGGCCTCCCCTTTATTTCCAAGTTTGACGAGCTCGGCTAGAATATCGTTGATGAGGGCAGCGGCTCCCAACTTGTTCAGCACCGTCTCCACCTGCTCAGCCGAGTATCCCAGCTTTAAGGCAAACTCCATCTTGGTCTGGTACTCCTTGTCGCTGGCATGTTTGAGCGCCGCTGCCGCCTTGCCGTCGTCGGGTCGATGCTCTGGTAGAGTGCTGCTCTGGGAGAAGCTTGGTCGGTCTAAGCATGGAGAGCGGCAGAGCTGTCGATGGGGCTTGGTGGCGCAGAAAGGCTCCTTACAGGTGCCACTTTTCACCTGCAGCTCAGGCTGTTGCTCGGACTCGCTCTCAGAGCTGCTCCCCTCCTGTGACCCCCCACTGGGTAGCTGGGCTTCGGGCAGCTCATGGGCCTCTTCCCTGCATGGGTGTTTCTCCATTTTGATCTTCTCCACCATTGACCATGCTGTCATCACGTTCCTCTCGCCACCTGAGATGTCCACCACATGCTCCCTCACCTCCACTACAGCCTGTGAGTCATACTCGATGGCTGACTTCAGCGCGAGCAGCCGTTTGTGTTGATCCAACGAGAGATGCTCCCGTTTCCGGTGAGCGGGCAGAATTAAGGACACTATGTAATCCTGTAAGAAAACGAAAGGGTAGCTGTCAATTAAACACATGGAACTTGTGAAATTGATCATCACTGCAGTGAAACACCCACAGTGCAGTGCGACACCCATAAATGTGGAAGTTGAGCAACAGATCTGTCCACCACAGGCAACAGCTCTACAGGACTCCCAACACAGTCACTGTGCTCCAACAACTGAGTTATTTAAACACTGGATCTGTCCACCACAGGCAACAGATCTGCAAAGCTCCCAACACAGTCTCTGTGCTCCAAATGTTCAAAGTAGAGCTCCAAATTTGTGAGTTCAAACACCTCCCAGGTCAAGGGTCAGAAAGAAAGGCTCTGCACACACACCTTCCAGGTAATAATGCATCACTAGACTGTTGTTGTGTAAATAGAAAAAATTGTGCAAATTATGTTAGTGTTATTCATCAAATTGTTGGCACATCAATTGAGGTGGTCTAAATAGGTTCTACGTGCCTCGGATTGTGAGTTGTGCACAAGACAATTTGAGGATGTGTTGTGTGGGAGATCATTCACTGGTGGACCTCCATCGACAACTTTCCACGCGTTTTGGGCGGAAGTGTCTGGGAACGTGTCTGGGAACTGCAACTAGAACTGAAACTAGTACTTACCCAGGTCTTGCAGATAGCTACTGCTATTTGTGATTCAAGAGACTTAACCCATGGCACAGGTTGCCTAGCAACACAGTCCTGTCATCAGAGCTAACTGCTTTTTAGCAGTCACGACAAACACAAAACACGGCCCATGGTTTTCTCTGCAGCCTCAACCAGATTTTACAATGTAAAACAGAGCGATATGAGGCAGAGAACACATCCATATGGAGAAGATAATTATTAATAAATATAAAGGAGTTCATAGCTACATTTCCATGTTTGGTATATAATCCTACTAATCTTTATATTATTTCGCCACGTGAACAGAGAAAGCTTAAGGAAAATAGTTGTTGATCAATTGATAACCTCATTGAAGCAGAAGTAATGCGTTATGAAAAATAAAAATGCGAACATTGTATTCTAACCAATTGGCTAACGCAGATGTAAACATACAATCTTGGGTTGTTTACCTATTTAGTTTGTACTGTATTCACCAAACTTTTTGAATGCTAAGTGAATCGAGACGACACAACATAAAACTGTCCTGAGACAGTGTATTGTTTGTCATAAGAAAGCCATAAGCAGATTAAACAACAGAGCGTCATCACAGACACATCAACACAGATATTGGTGTATTTGCAGTAAAACCCCTGTAGCTCATTCATATACCAATTGTGGTGAAGAGATTTCCTGGGACCAAATGACGTTGCTGTGGAGGTGCCGAGCTGCTTGAAACAGACCAATCTTCCTCTTCCTCCACATTACAGGCTGAGACACAGCAAGTCCACAGTCTCAACTACGACACACACACTTATGCAGCCCGGTCTCATAGCAACAAGT